TTCCGAAGGAGAAAAATTTGTTTGATTTTCTGTAAAAGTTCCAACCAATCATTTTCATTTGTCAAACTTTGTTGATTTCGCCAGTCCTGCTTGTCTTCAATCTGAAGACAGCGGTCCCCAGGAGGTTAATAATAGATTTTATGTTTTGTTAATTTATGATACTGAATCGATTGATTTATTTTTCAATTTTGAACTATAAAAATCAAAAACTACATTTTGTATAAACAAATGAATATTTATGTATAATATCTTTGAAAAAAAATTATATAAATAATTATTTTATTTAAACAACTGTACAACTCTAATAATAACAAGTAATTCTTATTTTTTTTTAAATTTAATTTTTTGTATTTAATCTTTATTTATTTATTTTTAATATAATTAGATGAAACTTCAACAATCTCCACAACATCAAGGAATGTATAATCCATTATCAAAAGAAATTTTATCATTAATGAATAAACAATTAATATTACCATGGACACGTCGTCATCGTTGTCGTACATCACCAAGTCAATGTTCATTTTGTGAAGAATATATTTTATGGTTTTCAATATCACAAGATATAACTTACTTAAATATATTTCACCACGTGATGAAATTAAATTACTTGAACTTGAATTACCAAATATAAATGAACTTAAACAACAATAGCAGCAGCAACAACAACAACAGCAGCAGCAACAACAACAACAAACATTAATTCAATCAACTAGATCATCAAGCAAACCAAAATTTAGTAAGATTTTCATCTCTTTTCTCTCGACAATTGTTCATAAAAAAAATTAATCTTTTGTAGCTATTGAAATGTCATCAGGTGGTGATCACCATAGTTCATCCTCATCATCAACATCATTAAATATTGAAGAAGACGCTGCTATAAATGTTAATACAACAGCTCAAACAACAACAGCATCAATACCAGCAACAACAACAACACCAGAACTTAAAGTTGAAAATAATCCTGATGGTGAAATATGGATAATATCACAGGGTGTTTTTTATTTTAAACTTAATACACTTCATATACACTTACAATTTTTTTATTCTGTTCTTAAAGTAATTTTAAATCTTTTTTTTTAGAAAATATTTTATTTTATTTTATTTTAGGAATTAGATCGAGTTATTGATATAGATGCACTTTATTATTTATTATGTTGTTTAAAATTATTAATTTTAAATGATGAATGTTTAGAAACAGCAGCAAAAGATAATCGTGGTTTCCTTTCATATTGCCTTGAAAAATTACTTGTTCCAGAGTAAATAAATTAAATAATTTTTTTTTATTCAAAAAACCAAACAATCGTTTTTTTTTTAAATTTAGTATTTGGAAAATCTTTGCATTAGGGCATGGTCATTTAAATGAATGTTGTGTACCATTACTTCTTCATGCACTTAATTATGAACTTAGAAAAACTGCTTTATGGAATATACTTGAACGAGATTTTTCAAGTATGCATTGGAAAGTTCGTTCATCAGCTGGTAAATTTCATTAGTTAGATTTTTAACTAATTTGATAAATTGCTTTTTTCTTTATATTTTTAGGTACACGTGTTATTGCACTTTATTCACTTCTTAAATCAAAATTAATTAAAAATAATTATAATGTTCTTTCTGTACTTGCTTTTGCTTTTCTTAATTTAATAATATCAATTGAAGATGTTGAACCAACAGTTAGTCAAAAAGCAATGTGTTCTTTGGAAACATTAGGTGATGCATGATTTAAAAGTGTTAAGTGTGCACTTGAATTGCAATTTGATACAGTTATAAATGATCGTTCAATAATATTACATCGTTTATCAAAACTTTATTCAATATTATTACGTAATAATTCAACAATAAAAATTTTTAGATGGGATTTTTTTCTTAATCGTTTTGATACATTATCAATTGAATCACAAATAAGTATGGAAGAATCAGGTGAATTAATAAGTCCACAAAGTATTGCTGGTTTTAATACTCAAAGTGAACATTTTATACGAAAATTAAATCAAATACGTTTTGCTATGGCTAAAACAGATTCAATTAAACCAATATCATCATAAACTAAATAACAAAA